CGACATCGGTGAGCAAAAGATACTAGGACCGGAAATCGTTTAGCAAACAATCGAAGTCATCAAATAGATTAGATTGAGAATGAAAGCAACTCAAAATAGATTAAAAAAAAAAACTATAATGATGTCGAAAAAAAAGTCTTGGAATTCTAGGTCGATGATCGAGTGTTCCTACGAGTAGCACCAATGAAAAGAATAATAAGGTTCAAGAAGAAAGGAAAGTTAAGTCCAAGATATATTAGACAATTTGAGGTATTATAGAGGATAAGAGATCATACCTACAGAGTTAGCTCTACTCCATCCCTCTCCTTAGTACATAATGTATTTCATGTATCCATGTTACAAAAATACGTGGAGGACCCGAGTCATATTTTAAAAGATGAATCACTAGACCTCTAACCCAATCCGAGTTACCAAGAAAGACCATCACAAATCTTGGATCACGAGATAAAGTAACTAAGAAATAAGTAAATACCTATCGTGAAAGTGTTATGGAAAAACCATAATATAGAGGAAGCAACATGGGAACGAGATGAAGAAATGAGAGTTAAATATCCGGAATTGTTTAATTAAGAAATTTCGAGGATGGAATTTTAGTAAGGAGGAAAGGATGTAATCCGTGACCTAAAATCATCAATGAATATAAATATATTATCACAATATTTTATTTAATTAATAAAGGAATAATTATTAAATATGAGGAATAAAAGTTTAAACTTGAATTAATAATAAAATAAATACAAATATAATTATAAAAGGAAGGTTAGTAGAATAAGTAAGTATTGAATTAGAGATTGGTACCATTAATTGTTATGATTATGTTTTAACCTATGGACACAATTACAAAACCTAGGGGTATAATCACAAAAATTAAAATTTTAGTTACTTGATTGAAATGATTAACTTTAAGGACTCAAATTACCCTTGGAAAATGCCTAAGATGAGGACCAAATTTAAAGAAATTGGAAAGTTCGGACTCGAAATTGAAAGTGGTCGATTGCAAAGATTAAAAGTTTAGGAATTAAAGTGCAAAATGTTAATTTTTTGGGTGACTTAATAACTGATTATGAGAGACTTATTCTAACAAAAATATTTTAAAAAATTTGAGAGAAAAGGAGAAGAAAAGAGGCGACAAAAAAGGAAGAAACAAGAGAAAATATCTAAGGCAAAAAAGGAAGAAAAGATAAGGAGGAAAAAGAAAAAAAAATTCTAAAAGCCATTAATTACTAAGCTTAAGATTAAATCAAGTGTGACACACTTGGTTTAATCCTAAGAAAGAACCATGGCTATAAAAGGGGAAGAAGAAGATGGAAGAGGGGTTAGAAGCTATAAATATCCAAATAACCCTAAAGGAAGAACTACACCAACTAACAAGAAAATCATCCAACCACCACTCCAAACCACCATAGGTAGCCTAGAAACACCCTAAAAAAATCTTAAAATCAGATTAGAAAATCAAACAAAGAGGGAGGAAATTCTACTATTTAGGTCAAAATTATTGGAAGGAAGAGGAGGAAGAAAGCAAATGAGAAAGAGAGAAGTATTGGCTAAGCTTCAAGTGAGGTAAGTATAATCCTCACTACGCCATAATAAAATAGTGATTTTGATGTATAATGGATGAATATTTGAAGTTTTAATGTTTGAGGTTTAGTGGTTAAATGATTGGTGAAACTATGTTGTTATTGCAATTGGATGGTTGTATTGATGTGTCCGTGTTCTTGATGTTAGAACCTTAATGTTTGGATGATTAATTGGTATAAATTCATGAATTTTAATGTTGTCCTTATTCTTAGAAAAAATTAGTTGCATACCCTTAAGTATGAATAAATTAGCGATTCTAAGAGTTAATATTTACAAGATGTTTGATGAAATGCTTTGAAGGTTTTTATTGTGCTAAGTTGGAAACATTGAAACTTGGTCACTTTCTTAGAGAATTTCATCCAAGCAGGAAGTTTACATTGCTTGATTAACTTAACCTATTTGATGTTTAAATGATAAAAAAACATGTTAGGTTAAGAGGCTAGAGGTCAAAATTTAAGGTAAAATGAAGAAATGGAAGTTACCCCTCCATTGGCATAGTTTAGGCCAAGAATGAGAAACAAGGGAATGAATGGTTAATTTGAGGTTAATGTTAATTTTGAGGATTTGAGGTATAAAATGACATGTAAAATGATTATATTCATGTGAAAAATGGATTGGTTGTATTGCTTAAACAATTCGTCCATGATGTGTTTAAGGCATGATTTATTTTCATTGTTTATTCTTATTTGCATGGATACTTAATTTATGTGAAACATATATTTGATGTATTATTCATGTTACATGTTCTTGAGGTTTGAAAATATGCATGTTGAGGTTTATGTTAATGCGTTACATTTATATTTAAATGCATTTGCATATCATAATTATAAAAGAGGTTTTACATTCATGATTTTGATGAAATGAAAATGAAAAAAAAGGTTTTCAAAGAGGAATGGCTAGGTACTTTTTTGATGTTATGGGAGAGGAATGATCACTCTCTCTTGAGGAAAAGGTTAAAGGAAATGAAAAATATTATGATAAAGTACCTTGTGCTTTTTGTGATTTTTCACAAATTACATGTTTTAAAAAATGATCGATTATATATACAATTGGCAAAATGCACTCGAAGAGAAAAATGAATTTCAAAAACATGAAGAGGTTTTTCTAAAATCTGCATTATGTGCATTGCATGAATTATACCTACTAAGCATTGCTCACTTTTGTTTCTTATGGTGTAGGAGAAAAAAAAGATGATTAAAGACCATCGTGAAGGAAAGTGAAAACTTGCCTTTTTTGTGTGCTTAGTATGTTAAGGTGTGAGAAACTTTATCGTCGCTTAACTTAATTTTTGTTATGTGTATTGATAACAAGTTAAGCAAATTTTGGTTTGTATTAATAAATGGTGTGGTTTGGATGTTAAATTTAATATTTTGTTAAGGATTGTTTAATTACATAACTTAGTAAATTAATTGGTCATTAGACTAATTAATATGATTTAAATGAATTAATGTGTTATGGAAAGGAACTAATTAAAGGTAAAATGAAGGTAATAAATAAAAGGTTACTGAATTTACTAACTAATGAACTAATGATAAAAAGTATGGAATTGAAATGGTATGGCAAAAATGGTTAGTAAGGTAAAGGCATAAAATGAAATTAATGGTTAACGAATAAATGCATTTAATGGGTTAGTTTTAAATAAATTAGGAACCAAAATTCCATATGTCCAAAAACTATTTTAAATGGCCAAAACTTTAGTTAAGAGTCCAAGTGAATTTATTAAATGCTTAATTGAATTAATGGAATAAATTTCTAACCTATGAAATTTTTATAAAAATCATGGTCGTTGATTTAATCTTTTACTATTCATTGATTATTTTCAACTTAAATGCATTACATTATAATTAAATTATTTTTGATATAAAAATAATGTCAAATAATCCTACTTTATGGTATGAAATATTTAAAAATAAAATAATCCTAAATTAAATTTTATATAAATTTCTAAAAGAAATTTGGAAAAAATAAGACATGGTTCAAATTAGTTTAATATAAGGAATTTTATTTTAATGATTAATTTGGATTTCAAAAATATGGATTTTTGACCAAAACATGACATTTAATATTTTTACACATGTTGTAGGAATATTAATTGTTATTAGATGAATTTTTGAAAAATTTTATGCTTAAGTTGTATTTAATGTGGATCTATTATATCATATTAATTTCAATTGGATTTAATTAAAAAAATAAAAACAGCTTTTCTAGGTCGACCTGCGGCAGACCAAGGCTGTGGTTACAAGTGCATTTCGACCATATTTGAAATTGCTTTAAAGTATGTTTGAATTGAAAACGCATCAATTCGATGCCTCGTTTCAAAAGATGTCTTGAATGGATTTAATATGTTAATACCAAAATCATTAAATAAAAAATAAAAATAAAAAACCTAAAACCAAATGTGGTTTTTTTTTTTTTTTTCCAAAACACCTACATTCTGATAAACTCAAAAGAGAATTTGAAAATCAATATATGAAGTTCTAATTCAGATTTGATATCTGTTGCACTTTATTTTATTTTATTTTATTTTTAATTTAATTCATCATATGATTTCTAGCTATACTCTACCTCTGAAAAAATTCAAATCTTGATATTTTGAACTAACATTTTACACATATATTGAGAAGAATCAGATTTTTATTTTTTGAACATTAGAAATAATAAATAACTCAAAATGATCTCAATTTTTTATTTTTTTATTTTTTGAAAAACTCTAAATAAATTTTACTAAATAATTTTTATCATAAAATTATTTGTGACCATTTATTTTGATAAATAAAAAATACGGACTAAATTTCATAATAATAATAATAATTTCATAATAATAATAATAATGTTCAAGGAAAGTCAAATTTAAAATTAAAAATTTAGAGACTGATTTTCAAATAAATTAAAATTCAGAGTAGATTTGACTTATTCAGCCGCTGAAAAATTAATTACATGAATTTCACTTCGAGATGGGATTTGTACTCGAAACTATTAGACGTAGTGCAGACACCTGAATGCCAAGTGCGGAAACTGAATTGGCAGAAACCGGGCCGAAATAGGCCTTCTGAACACCTCAACCAACACATCTCATCCCCCGCTTGGAATGTAATAAACCACATTAACACACAAGGACGCAATTTGCCATAGAAAGGCCACTCTCAAACCCTTGGCTATAAGAAATGAGCGACAGCAGCAAGATAACATTAGAGACACCTGGAAAACTGTCATAAATGTGGGTGCTCGTCTGTTAAAGCATCCACAGAATTGTTCAAACAACAAATACATGTCAAATATGAAGCCACTAAATGACCTCCAGCTGTACTAGTAAGGGTACCTTAGGTAGGTACGGTCATCAGTTAAGAACCTGGTGATAGACTTCTTAGTTGGATCCAATCCAGCAAGCCTCTCTGGCATGTTCAATCATCTGTTTGACAAAATCAATGATTTGGATCCAATTCTTCAAATTTTTTCTTGAATTCCTCTGCCATCTTTGTTTCCTCCTCTTTGCCAAGTGTACAATTTCTCCAATCAGCCCTATCCGGCATGTTCAACAAGCCTGCTAGAACCTGCAAAATATTTCATAATTACAATGAAAATTTCATGTTCTAAGCAATAACATCCATTACTTCCTAAAAGAAAAAGATTATTCATGCAAACAGTAAATCAAAGTTATTTTAGAACATAAGCTTAAAAACATTCTCACTGGGCCATGAGGTTTGACTAGATAACAGCAAAACCTGGTCAATGATAATGGACTTTAATTTACTGCTTGTAAGTTAGTTTGCAATAGAAAGCTTATTAGCCAATTTTCATTCGAAATGCAAACAAATTTTGATCATTTCTCCTAAAAAATGCACAGTGCAAAAGTCAGAAAGATCAAACATTAAGCAGTTGGATTTAACATCTTACTTCGCGTCCAAATTGGGCTGGAAAATTCTCTTTCTCATCAACTGAATGCGACAGTATTGTGCCTTCTGTGAGTTCCAAATAGAAGAAACTATTGTTCCTATCAAACTGCACCCTTAACCATTCTCTCGCATCTGCATAGTTATTGACTGCAAGAAACAGCGGAATTGAAATGATGTAGAAACCAAGGAATATTAAGTATCGCTCATTACGCACATAGAAGCCCTCGTCAAGATGGCTGAGGGCAACATGAACAGAACACTAAACAACTATACTAGAAAAACATAATACAGACACCAGGAAATTAAAATCATGCAGAGGTAAAACCAAAGACAATTGGAGCTTGTTTTGTACCTTGAACTTCAAAATAAACTTGAAACCAAACTTAGCTAAAAGATATACATATTTATGTCATCAAACTTATGAGCACATGTAATTAAAAAAAAAAAAAAGTAAATCAGCATCGAGTTGCTGCAGTAAAGTGCATTAAAACCTAGAATGATAGAACTTACACTTCATCATCACAAATTTAAAACCCAACTTTTCTGCAGCCAAGTTACATATATCTCGAACTGCTGCCACTCTGGTTGATGGAACAGGGACAACCTATGGAAAAGTAGAAAGAAGAACAAGAAAAAGTAAAAGAAAGGATTAACAAAAATAATCCTAAAATCAATAGTTGTAACAATAGCAGTAGATTTTTTTGTTATTGCTATTGTATCATCTAACCAGCCAGACAGGTAAAGACACCCTACAAGAAATGAGGGCTGAAATAAAATTAGAAAGTGTTTCTTGTGTCAAGAAAACATGGATGGTGAAGAGGTTTAGGTGATGATCTTTGTGCATTTTTCAACTAAAATATTTCAGGAAAAGTTGAGGGAAAGAGGGGAGGGAGGGAGAACAACGGATTTTTCACAGCAACAATGAGTTCCTGCAGAAATGAGGATAAATGCAATGGGCCCTGGAAAGCAATTCAGCAATTTAACTCATCAAGCTTCTGAATATATTTACAATGACTACCTGAATATTAGCATGAGTACTCCGTTTGGAAATCCACTCAAATAAAACAGCTTCCTTTCCCTGGTTCTTATAATATAACTTGAGACTGTTCCGGAATTTAACAAGCTCGGATTCACATTCTCGAGTTAGAGTTAGTGAAAGGGTACTTGGTGCATGCTCAATAGGTATTACCAGAACATGATCTTCAACAAGGGGACCTTTAGGCAGAGCACAGTAGTAAAATTCTCCTATGCTAATGATCAGATGTGACTCCACATTGGGGCTTGACAAACAAAACCAACACTCTTTTGACCTGAAACATAATCAGAGGATTAATTGCTAAGCACATGGCCAATGTCAATTTACAAGTCCTTCACTTTCAGGAAAATTAAGAGAATTAGGAGAACAAAAAAATAAAATCAACATTCAATGCTACAAGAGAGGAAGGCTCGAATACCTTGAACGAAAACAAACATCAACAAGCAATGAACATCAATTTTACAGAAATACCAACCTGTTACCATTAAATTTTTCAGAGCCACGTCTCCTATGAGAATGGCTCTCACCTTCACTCTGCAAGTTGTGCTTAAAGTTGCAATCTGGACCTCTTTCACATTTTCCATTAATAAGGAAATCGAGACAAACACCTGTCGAGTATTGTTCCCTTGCATCCATGTCATGTTGAAAGTTACACTTTTCTCCTCGTGGACATGAACCAGAATATATAAATTTAAAGCATAGCTTATCACCATCGCCAGCTCCAGATTTATGTCGTTTTTGGGAGACATCGTACCTCCAATATTGTGAATCAGTCACACTAGCAGTAGACCTTTTTGTGCCTTCTTTGTGAGCTGTTTGCTCTACAAATGTGTATGGAGATAAGGTAGTGTTTGGAGGTTTCATGCTAATCTCAGCAGCAGACATTGTAGATGCTGGAGTAGGAGAAATTGCGTGGATAAATTTCTGAGAGAAGCAGTGCAGAAACCAACAGTTAAAGAATGCCTAGAAGATAATTTTAAATAGAATAGTTGAATAATAACTGCAAGTTAGTAATAATATTACTCAAAAAACGAGCACCATACAGAATATCTCTCCACATCAACAAATCAGTATTCTCAGCTCTTCAAGAGTGAAGCATCTTCTGTGCATGTAAATCTCCTAATTTCTACCATCCTATCAGAAAAGATTTTCATGACAGCATGTGACTTACTAGAGTAAGTAGAGGATCCATGCTTGTAAGGAATAATTTGGTAGTTAGTCTTCATAACCGTAGGTATTTTCAAAACTAGTTTCATGGGATCCACTCCAATCGACTCATATCTAAAAGGTGCAAAATTATTGGTACCATTATCCGAGGACAACACATTCACTTTGGCACTTTCCTCTCTCTCTTCAACCCTCGTGGTCCCTAGTACTAGAATGGTTTGGACTAGGTGATGGAATTCGTTATAGTCATTAATATCATGCCTTTTTATCTTGTGAAACTTATAGTATTGTTCAAGAATAATGAAAGCTTATCAATCGAAGGCTTCAAATCAACACCGCTAGTATTCATCATGTCAAACAGCTTAAGACATGGAAATTTTAAGACTCGGTCCCTCTCTATCGCATGCCGCATCATCAAGTAACACCATGTTTATTCCTCTCGGTGATAGTATGATTTGGCAATGGGTCCGAGTTGACATATAAAAAATTATGTGTTTCTTTGAATGTAATCCACTCTTGGTCGATTAATGACTTAACTCTCTTCTTGAAGATGAAATAATTTTTGATATTATGTCTAGTTGCATTACGATGGTATTCACAAGTCTCATTCAGCTTGTACCATCCGGGATACAACAATTGCAATGGAAGCATAGGCACGAAGTTTTCTAATCAATGGTCACCCGATGTTTGAACATGTCCCCTAGGGAGATCGATGGAGGTGGCAAGGTGTTTTTATATTCTACCCGCTCATTTTTCCTCCGATCATTCCGGTTAAATGGGACTTGCTGGTTATTAAACTATTTGAATGCCAGCAGATTCTTATGAATAGTTTGCATCTAGGGTTGTATGAAGGCTAGAGACTAAGTTGTCAAACAAACAACATTGGTAGGTATAACACTCTTTGGTGTTATGAATTGGGGGATGGGACTAGTCGAGTTACCTTATGACACAAATTGACTATTAGCCTTCCATGGAGTCTTCCAACATCCTCTTGGATGAAAGATCGATACTTTGACTTGGTACACGCCTATATCTTTTCTTTTCCCAAAGTGACTCCTCTTAGAGCTTGACTTAATAGAATCGGCTACTCTACCTACCTCAATGACCTACTCAAAGCGATCGGGTACAGCATACTATCTCAACAAAATTATTAGACTCGTTGCTCAATAGATAGTGATAATAGAGAGGCTTAAAAGTATTTAGAAAGAGTGGACTAACTCTTTCTCTAGCAATGGTGGTTGAATTCTTAAAGTAGTTTCTTGCTACCTCTAAGCATACTCTCTAACATACTCTTTAGCACCTTTTTCCATTGACTATTAATGTAGGTGCTAGACATCCAATCTTATTCTTATTTGGATGGTTTAACTTATTGTACTATTGCATTCTTTATTTTATTAATATAAAGAAGTCTTTCTATTAATTTTTATTATTTATATTTTGATAGGATTAGATAGAAGTTCATATGATGTTCAATGCATTCATGATTGATCGAAAGATATGAGACAAATATTAATGTATTTTAATTGATATCACTAAATGTCCAAAGTCGTAGCATTGTCAAGAATGGACTTTATTATATACGGTAGGACTTGTGAGTTCTATGCTCATACTATAAAATAGCAATAAGAGATCTCATACCTATTAACATAGTGATGCCAACGCAAGCACTCAAGTGATTAATGTTAGAGAACATATCACTAGAATTGATTTGTCATGAGAACCCATTTGGTTTAGTCTATGAGAATCTCATACGAGATGGGTACAATTAATGTTTTAACTTGAAGTCATCATATTTATCTCATTAAAGGATTTATATACTTTGACACTCGTTTTGATGGGCTCACCAAGAGCTGCACATGGGTGATTTATTGGGTGCATTAGGAATCTAATGAAGATAGATGGATGAGTAAGATAGGATATGTCATTCCTTACATGCTAAAAAAATTATTACATTGCACTTCAATAAATATCTCGCTCAAGAAATCTATAGCCATAGTAGGAGAAAACCAATAGAGCATAGTTGGTTTACTCTAGAGCTAAGACATTTAAGAATTGAAGAAAACTTGTGTGATCATAATTGAATAGAATATAAACTTAATTCGAGATCACACTACAATAAATTGACACGAAGACCGAATTATATTACAACTATGCTTGTGAAAGGTAATTACAGATTAATTAATCCTCCTAGAAAATTAGATAGTCATGATGCCTTGCTAAAGGCTAATCTTAATTTATGTATTGAGAGATAAAAGAGGTGTCTTTATATGATGCCTTGCTAGTCATTACATGATTGAGTATAATATTTCTAAGTCTCAACATGGTCCCTTTCAACTTAGGTAAACCGAGGTTGATCAAGTGTAAAGGTGGTAATTGTAGAGACCATCGGTTACCTATTGTGATAGTGACAGCTTTTCAAAAGGGTAGAGATTTTTTTAGTATTACTCGGGGTAAAACCCATTGGAACACTAGTAATTCCTTCTTAAATCCAAAGGCAAGTATGTTTGAAAGATAATATGTGTAGTATTGTGTGTGAGAGCATGACCTCATATCTAGTCTCAAAAACTAAGGACAAACATTTAAACGAATAAAATCTATAAGGCAAAACACCATATCTATATACAATCAAATAAACAAGCAAATAGTTAAAGGTTAATTATTTATTCAAAATATACAGCCATAAAAGCATAACAAAGAAATGGAGATTCATGAACATAGACATTCAAAACTTGACCCTAGCATTGCATACGACCCAGCGAAGTCGCTAATTTTATTGATGTGGGGCATGCGAAGGATGTGCAGGAAGCATAGAGTCAGCACCTAACTAATCAAAGAAAACTGAAAAACCCTAAACATATTGGCTCGTGAAGATATCTAAGTAAGCGATTTGTTACATATGGAAAAGATATAACATCACCGTCATCCTCTCATACCTAAGTTACGCTGTATTGTTTGTGTCAACATCGGCTACTACGAAGGGTGGCCGGACAAGGAATCACTACCTAGCTAATCGGGGAGAACTAGAAAATCCTAAAACAAGTTCAACATTAAAAAGAAAGAGCTTTGTGTTTTCACTAAAAATAGAAAGAAACAACAATGTGTATCCTCAAGTATGGCAGCAAAATATTGAGAAATCATGCTGAGAACACAAATTGAACCTGCTTATCCTTGTTTCCAACCATAGCAAGACCAAAGAAACGGGTGACATGCACAGCATCAATATTAGAGTAAGGTTCACGTGCATAGAATACGCCCTTAGTACCTGCAATGTGGTAGCTGCCACGAAGAATAACCTTTAATGAGAAAAGCAGCATTTAGTAAGCATATGCTCCATTCTAAGAACCAACAGACAGACAGAAAGAAATAGAAGAAGTTGATTTTTAGGTTTCCATCAGTTAAAGGAAATCAGAATCGTCTCTGGTGTATGAACATGGTCCCTACATTCAATTAATTAAGAACTCTTGTAGACAAAACAAATAGAAAACGCAAATACAGAGCAAAGCCCCAAGCCCACCTAGGAAAAGTTTTGAACTTCTGACATCCCTGTCATAGAAAAGGAGGAAGTAGTGACCTGATAGACGAGTAGCAACACATATTGAGAGTGACAATAGTCTACATACCGTGGTTTGATCTCTGTTACTAACTCAGAAACGACAGAATCGGAAGCTGTCGAATCCGAGAACCCTGCAGGAATATCAGATGCAGAAGCTCTGTTTGTGACCCCACTAGGCCATTCATTAGTAAAAATGACATTAAGGAAATCAAACAAGCAAATATTTTCACATGGCTGCCGATAAAATACATAGACGAGCACTAATAACAAAAGGGAAAAATAATAATAATCAAGGATATGTTAAAAACAAGTCAACAACTCCAGGTTCCTCGGCCAATGCTCGCAAGGCATCAACATCATCTTGACTGTATGTTCCGAATTGTTGGGCGTTTGAAGACTGCCTACCGGATAAGTATGCAACAGATAAACCTAACAACATAGACAGTAAAAGTAAATGTAAACGTAAATACAAGAGGATAAAGTCCAATTTTTGTTTTAGAAAAACCCAGCCTTACCCTACCCTGGAGACTGAACTTCCCGCTGCCTCTAAGCCAGAAAAGGTTATCACAAATTTTGAAGCCGTCCATTTTGAAGCCTAAATTGGCGGAGTTTTTGGAAGCAGTGGAGAGGACTTTGGGAGCGGCGACACCGTAGTCGCCGATTAAGTAGGTGGGGAGGGGAATTTGAGAGCCGCCGCTGCCTTCAATATAGTCCATGAATTCCTGTAATTGGTCAGCGGAGTCAGGAAAGAACTGCCCCACGCAAAACAGTGCATCAAATGGGCCCGCCGATTTGTTCGCCGATTGAACACGCTTGAAGAGCTGATTGAGGCGGCCTATAACGTCACCGCAGAGAAGAATTCTTGGAGGAGACATGATGAAGAGAGGGAAGTGCTGAACAAGGTGAGAAATAGAAGGGAGTAGCCTGATCGGATCGTACAGGAAGGAAATAATCTTGATGGGCCTCGTCGAAATGGGCCTCTTACTAGAACAGGCTCGCTAATTTCCATTAGAGCATCTTTGTTTATAACGAAGTAGTAGTAATAAAAACTAGATAATCATTACCAAAATTAATTGAAAAGCATTAGTAACTAAATTTTTTTTAAAAAAAAAACACACTTAGATAAATTTTTCTATGCATAAGGAATATTTTCAATATAAATAATTATATTTTTACATAAAATAATTAATTAGAAAGCATAAAAAAGTGTATAAAAATTATGCGAAATGATGAATAAATTCTTATAAGAGGTGTTTGAATTTATTATGAAAAGAAATTAATTTTTGGAAAGGTGTGGAATAAATTTTATAGAATTAAGGACCTAATTATAAAAATTAAGGACCCAATTACATAAAATTAAAATTTTGAATTTTCAAATTAAATTAGGAATGAACCTTAGGAAGTGAAGAGTTTTTAGTAAAGTATTAAAGGAAGGACCTAAAGGAATTAATTGAATAAATGAAGGACTTGAGGAAGACTAATTGTAGAAAAATTCTAGAAATTGAAGGACTAAATTGGAGCAACTTTTGGGAGAGATTTTTTTCTCTCTTTGCCAACTTAGTGCATTAATTAAGGTAGACTTTTGGTTAAATGGATGGCTAGGATTAAGCTAAATGGAGGGTTGAAATTAATAGAAAAATAAAACGCTATGATGAAACCAATTGAAGGGCTAGGATTAAAAGCAAGATTAAGAGCTTAGATTAAACCAAATGAAGGTTGAAGATCAAGTCAAAAATCCACCCAAGCTTACCTATAAATATGGGAGGTAAGAAAATAGAACAATGGTTAGAAAATTGAAAAATCCAAGGTGAACCCTTGCTAATTTTCCATAGAATTCCACTTGAAATCTCACATAAAATCTTTCAAACACCTTAAAAAATGTAATCAAGCTTAGAATTCAAGCAAAAACATCCAAAAATACCAAGGAGAAAAATTGAAAGATTGGGCCGAAACTTGGAGGGTAGAAAGGGAAGGAAGAAATTTCAAGGCAATTCAACTTTTTAAGGTCTAATTGGAGCTATTTTGGTAAGTTAACCTCACCTACATAACAAAGATTTGCTATTGGATGTGAATTGTTAGTTTTGCCCAATTGATTTTGGTTTAATTGAATTAATTTAAAAATTAGGGTTAGGGTTCTTAGTTAGATTAATTTGGGAGAAATGATTTTAAGGTAGAAAATCATACAATTGAGCTTAAAACATGTTAATTGGGCTTCAAATCGATGGAGAAAAATAAAAAATTCGTAAGGTTAGGAGAGAGAAAATATTCGACCATAATGCTCAAATTAGGAATTTTAATGCTTTGATTTGTTTAATGTTCTATTGATTGATTATGTGTTATTTTAAGTGTGAATTGATGATTTAACATGAAAAATTACATAAAAATTAAAAATTTCACATAATTAACTTAAGCCCATATTCACCCTAAATTAGATAAAAAAAAATTAGGGTTTCAATGATTTTAGTTTCTAATGGTTTAATTGGTTAATTTTAAGTTAGAATAATGTAACAAGATGAATTAGTATGGAAAATGTTATTAGAATTGAAAATTTCCCCTTAGTTACCTTAAGCATACATTCGGCCCAATAGGTCCAAGCTTTAGGGTTTGGAATACAATTTAGTATTCCGATGTTCGATTGGGTAATTTTGCGATGATTGAATTGTAATGGAAGTGTTTATGGTGTAAAAATGTGATATGTATAACATATTTATATGTAATATGCCTTGGTTGGATCTTGTAGTAAAATACCATTATGGTTTCCTCATGTGTAATGAGAACGATTGTGGTGCTTTGTGATGATGATTTGTGCTTGCATTGTATGTCGTGGATGAATGGATATAGTTTACAAGGTAATGTGCCATCGACTATGTATTTTTTTATGTTATTGGGAATGATGTCGTTATGGTTTAAATACACTTTATTTATGGTAAATTATTTAGCATGTATTGCATGTTGCATAAGCATAATACATTTATATTAAATGCACTAATATGCCGATTCATGGAAATGATTCAAAGTCATGAAAAGATTTTCTTCATGATTTTTCCAAAAGCATTTGGAAAATCATTATGGTTCACATGATGTTTCATGACTTTTTATGATTTATATGGCATATGGGTTTCATGATTTATGCACGTCGAGCGACCGTAGACATATATCTTCGATTACTTGACAAGTCCAGGATGGATGCGAATTAATGCCTTAAGATGCTCGATAGTGGTTGAGTGGGTACAAACGTGTGCCTTTAGATACTCCATCGGATGCATCCAAACATGAAAGAAAAAGGATTTTAGAATGGTCATGGAAAGGATTTTTTGAAAAGACATGAAAATGTTTTCTCATATGCACTTCACATGCATATAATTCACATCATGCAAGGATTCACATACTCGTCCGGTTTCTTGTGGTGTAGACACTAAGGGTAAGAATGGCAATATTCATCGATGAACTAATTCACCAAAGGATCTATGGGCCGCATATATCTTAGATGTGGCTTTGATTTTCAAGTAGACCTCATTCACGTGATCATTTTGTTAGTGCTCGATGTTATAGTTTATATTTTAGGTATGACGATTTCTTCTATGTACTAATTAAAGCAATGAACAAGCACACGTATAGTTGAAAATGTGATTTAAGTAGGTAAATAAGTCATTTTTGTAGTATATGGCATTAAACTCGGTTTGTATGTCAATAGGCGTAGTTTGTCCGTTAACCAAAATTTTGGACAAATCTGCAATGGTATAATGACCATGTAATACTCGATATCCGTTAAAACCCTCATTAAATAAGTTTAAAAATGTTAAAGGCTTTTGAAAAATATTTTGTGGGCGTTAAATAATCATAAAAGAGTTAGAATATTTACAACAGCTTAAGATAGTTTTTCCATGTTTAGTGAATATTTACCGATTTTTCAATGCATGAATAGTAAATTTTTATGCAAACTAATTATTTTAAGCATGTTAAATGTGCATGAAAATTGTTTTGTTTACTTAGAATATTTATTAGAGGGATCCTAGATTATTCGATGCCATTGGATGAATTTTTTAAAGTTCAGTTGATCATTTTATTTGAACTTTTCAATGCATAAATAGTGTTTTCTAAGTAAATTAATTATTTTGAGTGCTTTAAAGATGTATGAAAATTATCCAATGGATATAAAAAAATCACTTAGGATGAATAGGAATATTCCATGAACTTAGATGAATTTTTATATGTATAGGGAATATTTTCTATGAAAATAAGTATATTTCTCCATGAAATAATTAATTAGAGGGCTTAAATAAGTGTATAAAAATTATGTGAATAGTGAATAAATTCTTATAGAAGGTGTTTGAAATTATTATGAAAAGAAATTAATTTTTGAAAATGTGTGGAATAAATTTTATAGAATTACAAACCTAATTGTATAGAATTAGGGACCTAATTATATAAAATTAAAAGTTTAAACTTTCAAATGAAATTAGGAATGAACTTTAGGAATTAAAAAGTTGTTAGAAAACCTTTAAAGGAAGGGCCTAAAGTGATCGATGGAATAATTGAAGGACTTATGAAAGAATAATTGAAAGAAAGATTAACAAATTAAAGGACTAAAATTAAGCAATTTTAGGATAGATTTTCTCCTCTTTTGTCGCCACTTTCACCCTAATTATTTGAATGTAATTAATACATACACAAATGGAGGATTAGGGATTAAAGAGGATGGTTAGATGGAAGGATGAAAATTAAAGAAAGAATGAATGGTTAAGATGAAACCAATTGAAGGGCTAGAATTAAAAGCAAGATTAAGGGTAAAGATTGAACCAAATTAAGGGTGGAGATGGAGTGAATGGAGGGCAAAAGTCTAATTAATTTTGCCTATAAATATGGGAAATAGGAAAAAAATAGAAAAATGGCTAGAAAGTAGCAAAACTAAGGGAAACTTTTGCTAATTTTCTATAAGCCTCCACCCAATTCTCTCCTAAATACTTCCAAATACCTTATATCCTCTCGATTAAGCTTAGAATTTTAGTTAGATCACAAAGAAAATCAAGAAATAAAAATTGGTGTCTTGTTTGAAATTTAGAGGGCAAAAGGGGGAAGAAGAAATTCTTAAGCAATCCAACTTTTCAAGGTTTAATTGAAGCTATCTAAGTAAGTTAATCTCACTTACACCACAAGAAAGTATTATTGATTATTAATTATGCTTTTGGAACCCTAATCTTATGTTTAATTAAATTAATTTTGAAAATTAGAGTTAAGGTTCTTAGTTAGGTTAAATTGGGAGAAAAGACTTTGAGTTAGAAAATCATGCAATTGAGCTTAAAACATGTTAATTAAAATTGATGAAGAAAAATAAAAAATTTCTAGGGTTAGGAGAGAGAAACCATTCGACCCAAAGTGAGAAAATTAGGGTTTTTTATTCTTTGATATCCTATTACTTTATTATCTCGTTAAATAGATATGAAATAATGATTGGGTATAAAAAATTACCTTAAAAATGAAAATTTTTCCTTAGTTATCTTAAAGGTATAATCGACCTCAACTAGGTAAAATTAGAGTTTTGATTCCTTTGTTTGTTTGATGAATTATTGGTTGATTAGGAGTTAATTAAGCATGAATTGGTGAATGAGAATATGAAATTTCATTGAAATTGAAAAATTAACCTAGATTACTCTAGGTAGGGTTTTGGCACATTAGGCCCAATTTAGGATTTTGCATGCTAATTAACTTATGAATGCTTAATTGACTAAATTCTTGATATTAAAATGTAATGGAATGAATTAGCATGAAAAATTAACATGAAAATTGAAAAAAATTTCGTAGCCTAATTGAATGACCTAGTCGACCAACATTAAGAATTTTAGGATTTTTGAGTTGTTTTATGTGACTTGATTAT